GGGACCAGTGGAGGGAGGCCAGCTCTGGTGCATCATGTTTTCTTTTCTTTACTAGATAATGAGCAGCTGTGTTTTCTGTATATTCCCATTCATGCCGGTGTTGTGCTGTACACTGTAGAGCTGCTCTTTACACTGTGTCTGATACATCAGCGTTTGTTGTCTCCAGATCTGGTCGAAGCGAAGCTGGTGGGAATCCTGGACATTCTGGACGAAGAGAACCGTCTTCCTCAGCCCAGCGACCAGCACTTTGCTCTGGCCGTCCACAGCAAGCATAAAGACCACTTCAGACTGACGGTCAGGCCTCTTCCCTCCCTCTCTCTGTTTCTTACTCTCCTTCTGTCTTTGCTTTCTCTCCAGCGTTCTGCCATTGTTCTCCTTCTTTTGTTAGTCCGGAGAGACGTAGCAGCACATTGTTGTGTTTTTTCATTGTCATCATTTTTGCCCTTTCTGTTTGTAGCAGCAGTTTTGTGAATGACACGCCGTCTCAGCCTCTCCTCCCCCCTTCCTGTCTCTCTCTTTATCACTATTGTTTGTCGCCGCCCGTATCGTTGCGATGCATGAAATCCTTTCAGAAATGTGGCCTTGACACCGATTCAGAGCTTAAGCTTAGAGGTGGCTGCAGAAGGACTTATTACTCACATAAAAACCGTTCTATACATTTAATTGGCTGAAAACTTTTACTTAATGTAAAGAATATACGGTGAGCTCACGTTCTCACCGGGTTGTTTATCACGACTCTCACTGATGAATCCAGTGGAGCTTTTTTATTATTTTATTGTTAAGAATAATTAATGATCAGGGCCCTCAGGCTACACAAGATGGATGGATGGATGGATGGATGGATGGATGGATAGATAGATAGATAGATGGATCATTCATGCAAATAAACGTGTCAAAGAACTGCCAATTACCCAAAACTAGGTTTGTGAGATCAAACCTGTTCTGATTACGTAACGTCTGGCTTTTTTGTTGGGTTTTACTTCAGCTCAGTGCTTCATTCTCTTCGCTCAGTGAAGTTCTGCTGCTGCTGCGTAGATGCTCATGAATATGATGAGATCAATACAAGTGTTTTAGCACTATGCTGCGTTTTATGTCTCCCACTTAGGTTCCCAGGAAGTCCAAGCTGGCCGTCCACAGGAACCTCCGGGATGACGAGGGCTTCATCATCAGGCACTTTGCTGGAGCGGTCTGTTATGAAACGGTAATTCTGAACACAGATCTTATTACGGGATGCAGGAGGATGTTCGAAAAGTCCAGTAGGAGAGTCGCTTTTGAGGAAATTTCTCCATTTATTGCATGCATTGTATGTTAAGCATGGAGTTAATGGTTATTTTCATCACTGAGTCTTTGTTTGAACTATAAAATGTGAAGAAATACAACAAAAATATTCCCTCAAATCCTTCTATGATGTCTTTAAATTGCTTCTTTCAGCTGGCAAGCAATATTTTAGGTGACTATCATACAATATTCAACAAATAAAAGCAGAGAACTGACCAGTGATTTTCCTGCAGTCCGAGCAAATTGCAATAACTTTGACTATGAGGACATGTAGTTATAAAAATGAAGGTTTTTCTTGCATCAGGTGCTGCTCGGCTCAGCAGACGGCTGGAGCGCGCTGTGATTTAAGCAAAGAGGCAAAACAACATCTGACATGTTTGTACATTTAAAGTGAAGTGAAACTCTGTTATGTCTGAATGACAGAAGTTTGTGTCGTTATGGATGTAAAGTGAACTTAGCATTGCAGTGTTTTATAATGTGGTGCCACTTATCTGCATACAGAGAACAGGTGACCTGACCTGGCTTTGTAAAGTATTCACCCGTACGTTTCCACAGACTCGGTTCGTGGAGAAGAACAACGACGCCCTCCACATGTCCCTGGAGAGCTTAGTGTGTGAATCGAAAGACAAATTTGTCCGAGAGCTGTTTGAGAACTCCAGCACCTCCAAGGACACCAAACAGAAGGCCGGCAAGCTCAGCTTCATCAGCGTCGGCAACAAGTTCAAGGTTAGAAGCTTGTCATTTTTGATGTATTTATTTAGGAAGAAGTCCCTGGACATCACCGCCCCTGAATAACAAGTTTCCTTTCTGCATTATGACAAATGCTAATGAGCAAATAAAACTGTATTTTTTAATGCTAATGTGAATCCACTTTATTTAAACACTTCAGCGTTATTGTTGAGCCTTTTAATTCAAACACATGCAAATTATAATGTGAGCAGCTTAATTTAATTGTGTACGCTGTTGTTTGTGGTTCAAATTAAAGCTCAGGCTCATAAAAACGTCTTAATTTGATATTTGTCGATCCAGGAACTTTACTCACGTCCCGCTTTGTTGATTTGCTAAATTTAAATGCACTAATTTGTTATTAGAAGCGCTGTTGAGGGATTTTAGGTGAAACAGCTGCACGAATGTTTCTTTGCTTCTTTTCAAGCTTAAACAAAGTGTAATCTCCAGACCTGCTCTTTCACTTTTCCTCCTTCCTTCCTGTTTCCTCTCCTTGTTTAGGGCTCCCTTCTTAGATTTCCTTCCAATCTTCCTCCTTTTTCCTCTGAGGAATCCGTCCCTGGTGGATAAAGTCAGCTTGAGGTGTAATAGAGACGAGGTAGAAAACACGGGCGGCGAAAAACAAGAGAAAGAAAGAACAAGTGTGTTGAATGAGCCAGAAGTTCACAAGCTTTAGCTGCACGATGACGAAATGCATCTCTGCTTTGTTCAGCTACCACTTACCTCCGTGTGTTGGTCTCGGTTTCTTAATGCTAACGTAGCTTCTTGGTCATCATCCCTGATCCACCAGAAGCTAAAGAACAGAGACAGTGTGTGAGCCTCCACAAGACACTAAAATTAGTACATATCAATAGATGTTTACCGTTTGTCTTCATTTCCCCAGTTGGACACATGTTGAAGATGAATATGTCGTAATGAGCAGCAGTCATTACTGGAAGTAGCTTCAGCTTCAGCATTAAGCTGCTTTAAATGAGTTTGTAAATCATTATTAGTCTTATTGTTATACATGAAGTCGTTCAGGCTCTTTCTCCTATGGACTGTTGTTTGTGCTGTTTGTAAGCATGAATCCGTCTTTCCATGACTTGTATCTACGCTAATCACACGCCGACACATCATTTGAAACATCTGGTCTTTGCTGCCATTAACACAAATATTCAAAACAAGTAATTGCTCAGTTTGATTTGTCTGTTTGCTCACACAGACCCAGCTGAACCTGCTCCTGGAGAAGCTTCGCAGCACCGTGAGTACCGTTCACATCCCAGTGTCACTGTGGATGTTGTAGGAAACAAGTGTTCACCGAATGTGTTAACAGCTCTGCTACGTACACAGCATACATACGAGCAGGCTGAGAAGCACTGTGCTGAGTCAGAGCATTTTTATTCTGATTAACGTTGCAGGGATCAAGTTTTATCCGCTGCGTCAAACCCAACCTGAGGATGGTCAGCCACCAGTTTGAAGGGGCTCTGATTCTGTCACAGCTGCAGTGCTCAGGTAGGAACCAAACTCTGTTAATGTGTAGCTATGTTCACAGGTTATAGTCTTTTGGATGAGTAACGTACGAAGGTTTGGTCGACCTGATGTGGATCTACTGAGCAGTGGCAGCAGGTGTAACTCCATGACTACGGCCTGCCCAAGAACAAAGGGAAAGAAATATATGTTTATGTCTTTTGTTGTGTTTTATTTTTCCGTCCTGATATGATCCTGATCCTGTTTCTGTCCAACAACATTTCTCTATCAACCATGTTTCTTCTGCGTGTGTTTTCCTTCCATAGGGATGGTGTCAGTGCTGGACCTGATGCAGGGCGGCTTCCCGTCCAGGGCGCCGTTCCACGAGCTCTACAACATGTACAAGCAGTACATGCCGGATAAACTCACACGACTCAATCCACGGCTCTTCTGCAAGGTAAGCGCACATAAATCAATAGTTTCCTCCTCGACTGGAAACATTCAGTGTTTACTGTCCCTTTAAGCGATGAATTAATCTGTTTAACATAAAGTCTGATTAGTCGTGTACGACGGAGTGTTTGGGCCGCATTAAGAGAAATAGTTTTCCACAGACTTCGAGAATAAAGTCGCAATATTACAAGAAAAAAATTTACATTTTACAAGAATAAAGTCGTAGTATTACAAGAAAAAAAATCGTAATTTACAAGAATAAAGTCAGAATTTTACAGTAAAGTCGGAACATCATGAGAAAAAAAAAACGTAATATATGTCATAATATTATAACAAAAATAAAGTCATAATTTTACAAGAATAAAGTGGTAATATTAAAAGAAAAAAATTGTAATATTACAAGAATAAAGTCGGAAATTTACCAGAAAAAAAATCGTAATATTAGAAGAACATTTTTTTAATATTATAAGAAAAAAGTCGTAATTTTACAAGAATAAAGTCGTAAAAATGTTTCACAGCCCTCATTTTGACAACCTTCCTCTTCTAAAACAACTGGTTTAAATGTTAAGACTTTATTCTCGTAAAATTACAACTTTTTTTCCTCATAATATTAATTTTTTTTCTTGTAATATTACGACTTTGTTCTTGAGGTCTGTGTAAAACTGTTTCTCTTAATGTGGCCCAAACACTCATCTAGTTGTGATTGTTCAATGCAAAAAAAAAAAAACCCACACTGACCCATTTAGGAAAAGGCTTAACAAACATAAATAGTTCAGTGGCCTGAATTCCTCCCACATATACAACATCACTGAATGTACATGTGCTCCTTTGTAGGCTTTGTTCAAAGCTCTGGGACTAAACGACAACGACTTCAAGTTTGGATTAACAAGAGTGTTCTTCCGCCCCGGAAAGGTGAAATATTAACGTCGTAGGTCGTTATGTGGAACTCTAGCTCAGGAGAATTCCTCTAAATTACAAAGCTAATAGACTGATTTGTGTGTGTGTGTGTGTGCATCAGTTTGCTGAGTTTGACCAGATCATGAAGTCGGACCCGGACCACCTGGCAGAGCTGCTGAAGAAGGTCAACAAGTGGTTGCTGTGCAGCCTGTGGAAGAAGGTGCAGTGGTGCTGCCTGTCCGTCATCAAACGTAGGTCCAATCCAGCAAACAATCAATCAGTAGTGATGGTGTTTAGGGTTTATTTCTGGTTTGTCAGTCCTCCAGTGGACAGAACTTGTTGTATTTGAGTCGAGATAATATGAAAGTTTCTGTAGATGTTTGAAAAACATGTAATTTAGTTAAACTTCCTGTTCAGCTCTTCTGTTTGTCTGTATACGTACCACTGCCTGTCCTGAGTCCATTTATCCTCGCTGGTATTTCACTCTTTCATTCATTATTTCTGAATATTAAATGAAGCCTGTAGCCAGATTCAGTTCCTCGTACCATTACAGTCGGTGCCAACCCATCGATCTCCACCGTTCAGCAGAGTGCAGGCCGCCCTCTGCTTATGTGTGTGAAAGCATCAAATGAAATTACAGTTCTGACCGAGCGCTGCCTCTGCTTGACCACACATTCCCCACATTAGTGCCTTAAAGGAAACGTACGCGTCTGGTCGCGTTCATTTATTATTATTTCCTTCCTATTATTCCAACATGTCACCTTATTGTCGCTGTTTATGATTTATTTAGTATCATAATTAGAGCTTTAACTTTCCAGGTCAGTTAGTTTCATTGCTTTGCTTTGATTCTTTTCTATTTTATTTTTTTTAAATGAGCGCTTTCCTTTTAGCATTTTATGTCACATTTTAGTATCGTGTCCACATGATACCGATTTGCTGAGCAAGAGCAAATAAACGTGTGAATAAAACAGGAAGTAGTCGTGCAGATGCATGAGTGTCCTTCTTGAGTTTTTGTAAATCCTTCTTTTGATTTCCCAACAACAGTTCGGAACAAGATGAGCTACCGAGCTTTGGCCTGCATCAAGATCCAGAAGACCGTCCGCATGTGGTTGTGTAAGAAGAAGCACAAGCCGCGGTGAGTTGCTGTCACACTGGGACACGAAGCTCAGCCCATTTCCTCTCACACACATGTTGTTCTTTCTGTTTGTCGTGCCCTTTGCTCTCTTTTTTTTTTCTTTTTCTTTCAACCTGTGTGCTTTACATTTATACACATTCACGCTTGGTGGGTTTTGATGGCTTTCCCCACATTTACGATTTCAAATCAATCCAGAATGTCATCGGTGGACCGCGGTGACACGAGGCCTCGCTGCTCCGCTTTGGGTGAAAGCAGTCACACAGACCATCGGTTTCTCGATAGTTTTTTGGAATTAGATTTTTGTGAGTGGCAGCGGAGGAAATGTTTCCAGCATTCAGACACACTCAGTGTTCGGCTTTTAAATGGGAATGTTTTGTTTTTGGTGAGAACTGGAAGTATTAAGAGGCAGCTACGGTGTCTGTGGTATGGAAAGATGTCTGCTAGGATGTTATGTTTTTAGAAGTCAGAGTAAAATAACAGTGTAATGCAACGTAATTCTGAATGAAACAGAATATATGATGAGGATTTAATTCATTAGAAATTGTCTGGTTGTCGTATAAAGCTGTAGGATCGCTGGATTTCACCTGCAACTATTTCCCACGCATCATAGCCTAGAGATGGAAGAAAAAGAAAACTGATGAATTTGAGCACAACTGAGATCCAAACAAACACTTCTGATTAATTCTCTGAAGCTCACAAGCTAACGGTCAAGGGCAGCTCTGCATGATGGACGGGCTAAACTAGTGGAAAACAATTATGTTTTATTGTGTTACCTTCTGTTTATACCCTTGAGTTCAAGACAAATGAGAACCTGTTCTCAATTTACCTACCTGGTTAAATAAAGGAAAAATAAATAAATAAGTCATTAAACTATAACAATAATCAGGGGGTTTTGATATGAAAGTAGTTTTCTGGACGTTTGTTTGGCAAACGAGACAAACGGAACAAGGTCGCAGGATTTCAACTTGGAAAATATGTTTTTATTTTATAATATTTAACACTAAATCACTTCCTTAACAAGTTTGTTTTTAATTAGTTGCCTTTTAAATCGACCTGCTCTGATTTTTCAGTAACATATTCGTGTGTACGTTTTTCTCTCCTCCCGTAGAATCGATGGGATGGTGAAGGTCCGAACCCTGAAGAAACACATGGAGCGGTTCAACAAGGTGGTGAACGGGCTGAAGGAGGGCAAGCAGGAGATGGCCAAACAAGTTCAGGAGCTGGCTGCCGCCATAGATGCTCTGCTGGCCAAGATAAAGGTGAGGCGTCGAGATGATATGGTAACCCTGGTTACCTGTCCAGGTGAACCTGCCTTCACCCTGAGTCAGCTGGGATAGACTCCAGCCCCCCACCACCCCAGTGAGGATTAAGCAGCATGTTAGCTTAGCATAAATAGCTGCTAACTGAGGCTAACAGCTAGCCTAGCTCAGTCCAAAGGTCAAACAGTCCTCGAGGTCTTCAACAAGGTTTGGACAACTTTTTTATTTTTTATTTTTTTTACCACTTTTAGGAATTTTGGACACTTTTTGTTGAAGTCACCTCATTTTGGACACATTCTGAGGAATTTCTCTTATTTTGAGTCATTCTGGACACATCTGTCTTCATCTTGGGCAGGTTGAACAAATTCTGTCCACTTCCAACAATCTCTGAGTCATTTTGGCCAAATTCTCCAGTCACTTCTTGTAGATAAGAGATAGATTGATGTTCACATGCTCTGAGCTTTGGGGAGTATTTTGTTGTTCTGCTTTGTATGCATTTATTTGGAGAAGATCCTTCAGAGCATGTTGCTTGAACCCTGACCGACTCCTGTTTTAAATGGCTACCTGCACCCACACCCGGAGCTCTCCATCCTCTCCTTGCTGAAGAAAGCCTCGTCTCTGTGTTAAACACTCTGGCCTTTCCTAAGTGTGCGGTGCCCTTTTCTCATTCTTTGTCTCAGAATCAATATTTTCAATCACCTCAGGATAAAAAAGAAGAGCTCGGTGAAGAAGAATCCTCTCCTCGCCAATAATTTAATTTAGCGAGGCTGTTTTGCTAAATTATCAAACTCGGTTAGCGAAATCCCAGCTCTCCCTTTGCAATAAGCACCCATCTTATTGGACCCTTAAGGTATCGCAGATCATATTCAGACATCCTCGCGCTGAATCCTCTGCTCGTTTTCTTTTTGTAGTTACCTGTACACAGTCAACAAGTACGTTCAAGTGCTTAAAGGTTCCTCGAGGTTCCCTGATTGACACTAAAGAGCCAGTTACTCCTGGCCCCTGTATCCCAATCAATCAGGCCACCTCCCCAATGCTCATCTTTTAGCCTATTAGCATCCCCGCTGTCGACACTCAGGCCGTTCTGAGCGCTTAGAAATTGCTCCCGGCATGGCATCCCTGCGTGAATAATGCATGAGACGCCAGTGACTGTCATTCAGACCTTTATATACGTTGGGGACGAGGCCTTGTCATCTTCCCTCCCTGTGTCACTGTTAGACTCACTCTAATGAATCTTCACAATGCGGCGACCTCTTCTCCCCCAGATGATTGTCTGACAAGTATGTGGAGGATTGAGCGGCTTGTGGCCGTCGCAGCAAAGTGACAGCGTCAGTCAGCGTCTCACTTGTTGCCACAGAGTTGTGATACGGGAACAGAAATGTGTTCCAAGTAAAGGTGGCTGGACTCCAGATCCTGATCATTTCTGTTTCACTCACAGGACACAGTTTAGTTCCAACAAGCTTCCTGCAGGCATCAGTTTTATTATTAATACAGTCGTGACTCGATAATCGACCCTTAACAATCCTAAACCTGCTATCCGACAGGTTTTTAGAAAAAACCAACAGAACCCATAAAAACAGCCTTAACATAGCGACAGCCTTGGATTCTGACTCCGACATGACATTTAATGTCACCAATCAGGATGACGGCGTATTATCTGACTGAACAATCCCACAGATTGGCTACGTTCACACTGCAGGACTTGATGCTCAATGAGGATTTCTTTGTGACTTCCTTCACGTTTCCACTTCAATGCGACTTGTATGTGATCTGCTGTGTGAACTTCATACGAGCCAAAAGTGTCCCGCATGCGCAGAAGAGGACACGACGACGTCACACGCAGCGAGCGTGCTCAGCGTTTATGGAAGTAAACATGGATGGTAACGGTGGAGCGTATCTGCCACTCCCCCGCCGCCACCGATGGAGGAAACAGAAGTGTGAGCGCTAACTAAACTAGCATCAGCAGCCAAGTACTGCCTGTGTGTTCTGGACACTTCCACCCCGTCAGAGCGCTGCCCCGGGGTGGAAGTGGACGTTCAAGCATCAAGCCCTCCTCGTATCTGGACCTCCGTCTGGACAATCCGACAGCCTTGATATCCGACATAAAGAAGGTTTTACATTTAGTGTCAGTTTATCGAGTCATGACTGTGATTACTTTGCAGTAACATTGTTCAAAGCAGCTCGTGTCTTTAAACCCCACTGAGGTAAAGCATTTGATAGTTGGATTAAGAAATGTTCTGCTTTGTGGCCCTGACCCGTCGTCCTTATTCCCTTCACCTCCAGGCCACCGTGATGACCTGGAAGGAGATCGACTCCGAGTACCAGGGGCTGGTGAAACGCTCCGAGAAGCTGCTGTCCTCCATGCAGAAGAAGAAGCAGGAGGAGGAGGAGAGCGAGAGGCTGAAGCACATCAAGGAGGAGATGGAGAAAGAGAGGAAGAACCGGGAGAAGGAGGAGCAGCGGCGCAAACAGGAGGAAGAGGACCGACGACTGTGAGTGACGTGTTTAGTGATTATAACGATGTATGGCTGTCCAGCTGTCGGTCTGTGTTTCTCTTTATAAATATTGGTTTCCTTTTCTTTTTTTTAATATTTTAGGAAAGCAGAGATGGAGCTGAAAAGAAAGCAGGAGGAGGAGGACAGAAAAAAGAGGAAGGAGGAGGACAAAGTTCTGCAGGTGTGGCCTTCCTACAGGGGGATATTTTTCTATTGAACTCTCCAGAAACGTAGGAAAACAACTGACGAATTCTCCACTGGAATCGTAATCTGAAAAATTCAAATTTCCACTTAAATGAATTGATTTGACCGACCATTTAAATCCTGCTATCATAATTAACTTAGAATGGTTTCTCCCCTGTTTCCAGCTTCTACACAAACATCCAACTGAGCATTATATTGGGTGTAGATAAGATGAGATCTATAACAAAATGCAACCCTTGTTCGCCAGCCTCAGCCTCCTAACAAGCTCACAGCGCAGGGTCGGTGACATTAGATACCACCGATCCACCAGAACCCACAGAAACCTGGTTTTAATCATTTGATTTCAAGAAAAAATGCCCAAAAAGTACTGGTTCCAGCATCTGGACCATGGTTCTGTCTGAAACTCTTTATGGCATTTAATCCCTTCACTACACTCAACTCTTCTCCTGTAGGTCAGCATCACATGTCCCACCTTTTCTTTACCATCCATCCATCCGTTGTTCTCACATCACATCCCTCCTTTATGTTGCAAACCCGTCTTTCTATTCACCACAGACCGGTTGGGTATTAGCATGCGGGTTTCCTGTCCGGTAGGGAGACGGGTGACACCAGGCTGTCAGAAGCCACACGTCTCAGGAGACTCTTTGCAAAGTTTGTTTATCTGCAGCTCTGAGGCTCAAAGTGCACCAGTGAAGTTTCTCTGCTTTGACTTTGATGGCTTTTGCTGTATGTTCTCTGCTGTGGTCAGAGGTTAGTCCGGCACGACTCCTGAAATATACCGCAGCTTTTATTGCCTTATTTTCTGAAGAGAGCCTCTCAGGTGTTCCTCCTCTGGTAGCTTGATAGATATCAGTCAACACAAATGACTTCTGAAGCTCTTGTTATTTAATGAAATGTGAGTGAGGAGGACACATGCATTCAATTTGTTATGTTTAGGGAAGACTGAAGTAACGAAAGTTAGTTAGTTAACTTAGTAAAGACTCAAACTGACGAGGATGGTACCAAAGACAGTGCTGAAGGTCTTTGGGTTTTAATGCTTCACTTTGGTCGCGTCCACAGCTGCTGATTAGACGTCCTGCAGGATGAATAATGCAGCGTGTTCTCACCTGGAGATTTATTCATATTTAAAGGTCCTCAGAGAAAAGTGACCATTGTGGACTTCATTACTGGCTCTCTATAACAAGACAGTGGATAGATTGTACAGCATGTTGATAGATTTATGGAGCAGTTAATTCTTGTTCATATGAAACTTCAACCACGAGTTTGAATTTGGGACAAACTACAAACTTCCAAGTGATAATTATTGCATGTTTGTCTGCGGTATGCCCCGTTCTGTCTAGACAAATGATCAGCAGAGCTTTATTAGCTGCACAAACACTGGATGAATCGGTCTAATCAGGCTTGGCCACACAGCAGAGCTCCGTCTGGCTCATGAGGTTTATGTAGTTTTTGTACAATCACATTAAGAGCAGAAGTGTTGTGGTGTTTGTGTGTTTGTAGGCGGAGCTGGAAATCCAGTTGGCTCTGGAGCGCGAGGAGCAGGTCCAGCACGCCGCCATACTGGAGCAGGAGAGGAGGGACCGGGAGCTGGCCATGAGAATCGCTCAGAGCGAGGCGGAGCTCATCACTGAGGAGGCGCAGCTGGATGCAGCGCTGCGCAGGTATAACACACACACACACACACACACACACACACACACACACACACACACACACACACACCGTGCACATGTTTACATGTGTGCAGTGTAAAGTACAGAAGTAATGCTGACCTAAACACATGTGGATAACTGCATCTCTCCTGTTGCTGTGTTTTCCCCAGCGATGGGCTTCTTCCTATTTCTGCAACCTCAGCCAGATCCATGTAAGATATATCAGCACAGCTTTCTGTCCACGTGAACCAACACCGACCGTAGCCGCTCCCTCCCTCCGTCCTCGTCTTAGTCCCTAACATAGCCCTGAATCTCTCACTTCCTTTAAATACCTGCACAATTACACCAGAATCACAAAACCAATGAAAAAATCTCTAATTTTTGCTGTCAAGAAATCTCCACTCAGATTGTTCCGATGATCTGTACGTGTTCTTATACGTGATTCTAATTAAGCGAAATCATTGGTGACCCAGAAATGAAGACGGCAAACCGAATCCTAAATCAGACGTGGTGGACGATATGCAAAGTGTGATGATTGTTTTTCTGATCTAAGTTGTCTGCAGTCTCCTCCGTCGTGGTGCGCCTCCTCAAAAACTCAATATTTATCTGTACATGTTATGTTGAACTTGATAGATGTGATCGATCTCCAGCTCTACACAGTCTCACAACCTTTATTCTTTGACATCAGTGGCTTTTAATTCCTAAATGCTTAGAGTTCCTACACCCTGATAACAGCTCACAATATTCATGTAAACTACAGAATTGAACCACTGATGTTTACTGAGCTCATCGTTAATGTTGACACTCAGCTTTGTGTGAGTGAAGAGGTAGAGATGAAAATAACAGAGGCACAGAACACTAAATTAGGTTCTTTTAGGTGTGTTATCAAGATCTTCATATGACCTTTTACCATAGTGGGAAAAAGATATGTTTAATATTTGAGATCAGTTTAACTCAGGATCCAGGATACAGTGCCGACATGTGGGCAGTTCAACCAGAAAGTGATCATTTCTTCTCAAATTGTTTCATTAAAAGAAATTTTGAAGGCAGAAAAGAAGAAAGCAAAAATACCTCCGCTACACCCCGCTCTGTCCTCTATGTCACTTATTTACTGTTTCCTCTATAATAAATAAACACTCAGTAGTTTGTTCTGTAACGAACTGGAAACACATTACATTGGAGTATTTTGGCAAAAAGTGGTGCACATGCCATGAGTAGTACTTTTTCCTTAAATTTTCAGGAATAGTAAAACAGCAGCAGGCAGGTATAGATCACTGTGTAGTGAATCTGTACCAGACAGAGCCACTGATGGAAAACAAACCGTTTACTGAAACTCCTGAATGTCTAACAACTACTCACCAAGTCTTATCGCCTTATTTCGCTAAACCTTAGTCCTAATTTGACATATTTTTAAATACAATCTGTAGCCCAGCGTCTCTCTTTAATGCCAGAAGGTGTTCTCCCAGAGTCAGAGCAGGCCTTATCTGCAGCTCCTCTCAGCAAATTGCATTTGATCCAGTCGTCTGCTATCTCCTCAGCGCTGGCTCAAGGCTCCGTGCTGCAGGTGTCTCTAACTGTTCCTGTGAGTCAGCTGAGCCCCGACAGCCACCAGGAGATCCACCACGTGTGAGCAGAGTGCAGAGATTAAGCACATGAAAGCTTTTAGACGTATAGACGCACTGGCTGGCCGGGCTGGTGCAGCAGCTAGGGGACGACAGAAAGACCTCCATCGTCCTCCTCCTCCAGCCTTTCCCATTTACCTACTGCCAAAGCAGAGCCCTGGCTGTCGCTTCACTTCCCCTTCTTCGTTCCCCTTCCTCTAAAAAAAAAAAAGTACAGCTTCTTCCTTGGTTGATCACCACACTGGCTGGCTGGCTGGCGCATGTCTCAGGCAGGACGACAATGATCCTGAATGGGTTTAATCTTTCCAGTGATTTGTAGATCAGCAGCCCTCTACTCAGAGACATTAGCAGCTACGCCAACTGTAAATAGAGGGGGCAAATCCTGCGTATTATTGAATTAGCAGCCGCGGCTCAGCAGGGAAGCTGGAGACTTGAGCTCAGAGCTCTGTTAGGGAGCTGAAACTCCACCGACTGCCGTTTGTGTATAAAAGCGCTGCACGGTTACAGCTTGTGTGTCAGCATTCTGTCTTTCTCTGTAACCGAGGCTCGACAGAACGCTCTGTACTGCAGGTAGAAGTAAACTAATGTGTGGAGTTCAAACTGCTGTGCAGCTTCCCTGCTGACTGGCTTCTAATGAGGATTTACTCCAGACAACGAGGAGCACCAAGAAACTACACATAATAAATCTAGTTTTCCTCTAATCATTTCTTTTGTGTTCTGACTGTGCTTGGAGATAATTACACCCAGCATACTTCCTCATCAGTGGCTGATTTCTTCTATGTAAAGCTCATCATACTGGATTTATTATGTTCTGTTTCTGCTGTTCTTTTGGAAACTAACACCTCTCCCAAATCACATTCAGTGTTGAAAGTGACAAAACCGAAGCCCTCTACGTCTCATCCTGCCGCCTTTTCACGCTTACCTTTCTACACTTTTTTTTTTTTTTTTCCATTCTCTCTCACCTGCGTTCGTCTGTTCACCGCCGCAGGGGTCCTCAGGTGCAGGCGACCAAAGCTGCTGCCGGCGTGAAAAAGTACGACCTCAGCAAGTGGAAGTACGCCGAGCTGCGAGATGTCATCAACACTTCCTGTGGTGAGAGAGCTCGAACACGCCCAGCTCCAGTCCGACGCTGCGTCTGAGTGTTTGTGTGCTCCGAGGCAACCGGTGCACGCAGACTTTAGGTGTCGGAGCCGTCGGCGAGGTTCATGCTGCACCTCTTCATCCCAAATGTATTTACAGTTCTCAGCCCCGCACATTAAATAATTCAGCAGCAGCTCATGTTTTGGCATTTTTGAGACCCGAAGCCACGGGGCAGCATCGCTCTCTGCACCGGCTATTCATCTGCTCTTTGTGTGGTTCTGCTCGGAGCTGCCAAAGTGGCTGTTAAAAAGCTGAGACTGCAGCTGTACAGACACAAGATGTCTTCCCCCACCCTCCTGAAAAACGCGAGGATGTGGCGAGTACAGCTGCTGTGGCTCATCGGCTTGTGTTTTAGTGATGGAGAGAGGAAATTATCGCCATTATGGAGGATGGCTGACTTTTGCTCTTCCTAGTCATTCCCAGCCAACCCTCTCCTCAGTCAGCATGAAAAGCAGATTCCTTTCTGCCGGCTCCCTCGCCGATGCCTCAATTACGGCCACTGTGTACAGTACTCTGATCAGTGTTAGGCACTCTGATATCCCCTGTGGGATTCCAAGGACATCTGGCTAATTTGTGGAACCCATTTGCTTTGATGGTGTTACCGAAAAACTGTGCTTCAAGTCTGAACTGATTATAGCCTTATGGTCGCTAAAAACACGGCGTTTTCTTTATATTTCATAACCGCGAAGGCGACACATTGTCAGCGCACACGCTAAATGTAAAACATCAAACTGTTCTTATCTGATGATCATGATTTAGTCCCTCAGTGTGTTTCGGCTATTTTGTCTTTATTAGTAGTACTATCAAAAATACTACAACTACCCGATTATATCACTAACTACAAGACCAACAGGATTATAGATCATCTATCCAAACATCCTACACACAATATTTCATTAAGCACAGTGTGAAATTTATTTACCTTCCTCTGGGTGTCTGTATGTTAAATATGTAGCTCAGCACACAGATTGGAAGAAACAACTGGCTCGTCTTTGTCCAAATCTGTGCAGTGAAGCATCTAAAGCTTAATAATTAACTGGTCATATCTGGGTGAAGCTCATCATCTCATCATCTGCACCGTTATCGGTCCTGTTGCACCTCCACACCTTCAATCTGAACTCTTTTGATAATCTAAATGTAAATATCAGTATATCTGCACCATCAGTGTTCTTGTACATAATACCACAGTTCTATGGTTCTTATTTAAATTTAACTTTAATTCTTCACTCCACAATATTTTTTTGCTTCTGCTTTGCGCCGTTACAGTTATTTTTGTTTTGAGTTACTTTTTTTTTTTAGCTATTTTTATATTTTTTTCTTGTACCTTACTCTATATTTATTGTTGCACCGACCCACCAGAACAAACTCCTCGTGTTGTGTAAACTATACCTGGATTCAGCTTTATAAAAGCATCAAGTTGTAGTTCTACCTGGTTTTATGTGCACAACTGTTTCCTGTTACTGGCGTCGTGGCTTCACACTGAATTGAAAGATGTGAGCGTGGTAGCAAACACATTTCACCAAATGTCAAAGAAGTATTCCTGAAACTTATTTTTGAGAATGAAGTTCACTCAGATGTCGTCCATCTTTTTAACACTTGTGAATTAACGTTCCTAATTTTTTAATCAGCGTACAGTTGATGTCATCTGATCCGTTCCTTTGGCTTAAGTTCAACTGTTTACTAAAGTTGTGATACACATCCTGCTGTTAGAAATCCAAATAATAGTTTCTCCGGATCATCCTTAACTGATAATATCTCACTTCCAGATCTTTAACTAGTTTCCAACACGTAGAAACGATCGTTCCTTCCTCTCTACTTTATTACTCGATGGTGTCGCCAGCTTGTGCCTGCAGTGGCTTCCTGACTGCTTACTGATGCCGTTTTGCAGACATTGAGCTGCTGGCAGCCTGCAGAGAGGAGTTCCACCGCCGCCTCAAGGTCTACCACGCCTGGAAGTCCAAGAACAAGAAACGCAACGACGACGGGAGCGATCAGAGGGCTCCTAAATCTGTCCTGGACTACGGTTAGTGTTATTCTCTGTGTAATCCTGCTGCTCTGCATTTCTTCATGGTGATGCTGCACCTGGGGATGGGAGCATAAATCTGCATACTCGCATACAGCGTTCAGCACATACACACCGTAAACAGTCCCATGTGCACAGCTCATCGTCGGCACATTAGGCTACAGGTGACAAGTCTTTATTTCCCCTACTTTAGCCTCTTGCCTCCATTGGCAGGGATTAATGACCTGCACACAAATAACCTGCCTCTGTTTCCCAACATTCAATTAGCTAACGAAACGCCAAGGCCCAAAAATTCAGCCGCCTGCTGTCTGCCTCTGTCAGAAATATTTGTTCTAATTAGCAAGTAACTGCCAGCTACTCCCTGTTAGCTTCAGCGGCTGCTGGTGTGACAGCTTTGCTCTGCTCGTTTCATTCTCAGCTCAACCAAGCATGCTGCGTCACACACACACACACACACACACACACACACACACACACACACAGCAGTATTATTTAGCTGCTCACTGGTGCACTGAGCTTCTTTTCTTGTTCATTTTTGAAACAAGCTTTGGGTTTGATGGGCGACGGGAACATTAGATGCTACGTCTACTTCGGCTGTAGTTCCTTGCGTTTCTGTTTTGATCTGATTGCTCTTGAAAGCTGTTTGGATCCCGTTGTTGGATTCTCCAGATGCAGCAGGGCTCCTATCAAGGCCCTTTCATAAGAGGCTAAGAGCTTTCCCTTCCTCTGCGTGTGGTATTTACCTGAGCGTTTCCTGGGTATTGTTTGATCCTGTGTGTTTGAAAGTCTTTCCTTTCCCTGCTCGCTGTGTTCTCTCCTTCTAGCAAACCTGTTCCAAGGTGATTTATTTTAGTCCAGATAGCAGGTGCTTGTTGTGAATATTCATTGCGATGCTCCTCTCAACATAATGGCTTTAATTGGATTCCAGCCATAAACCTGAAACCTTAATGGTCCACAAAAAGGTCAATATACTCCTAAAACAAATCTGGGTGTTAATGGTCGCGCTCTGTTCCACCACAGCTGAGCAGAACCCGGCTCCGCCGATGACGGCCCAGCACCAGGAAGTGGCCATGAACCGGCAGCAGCGTTATTTCCGCATTCCTTTTATCCGACCCGCTGACCAGTACAAGGACCCCCAGAACAAGAAGAAGGGCTGGTGGTATGCCCACTTCGACGGGCCCTGGATAGCCAGACAGATGGAGCTGCACCCAGACAAACGGCCCATCGTGCTGGTCGCCGGTGAGTCAACACGTTTCCCTTTTGTCCTACCGAAGACATTCATGTTCAGGAAATTAATTTAAGGCAACAATTCAGAGATTCTCAATTCTTCTGACCATCTGAAATGAATCAGTACCAACTTCTGGCCTCTCGTCTCACATGGAGGACGGCTGAGTCACATCATTCTTCTTTTTTGGATTGTTCAGTTTAAAGCCGTTCTGGAGGTTTCTTTGGAGAAGCATCTAATGCGTCACAAGAAATTTGTATTGTATAAAGCAGTCCTTTTTATGACAGAAATGGTTTCTTTCATATTCTTTCTACACCTTGTGAAGGATCCAAATGTTCAGACGATTCTGAAAGTCTCAGAAAAGAGTAAAAAATAAAAAAGCCCATCACGATTCTTCTCAGCTCAAACTAAAATCTTGTAGCTGCTTCTTTTATATATTTCAAAAAGTCCAAAGGTATAATTAATTTATGAAGATAAACACAAAGGGCAGCATAAATCAGAATCAGAAATACTTTATTGATCCCTGAGGAGGGAAACTGCTTCCTGTTACAGATGCTCCCAATCAAAAGTCTTAAAAGAAGTAGGAAATATATAATAAAATATAAGTATTAATATGAAATAAAATATGTCTAAACATGAAATATAAATGTACATTCTGCTCTTGTATATGTATATACAGTTTAATAATAAAAAGCCTACGTTTAGATTACCGTAATGTCTGGACTATGGAGGCACCTGAATATAAGCTCCACCCACTGACTTTAAACAGGAAACCAGGTGTGTACATATCCAGGCTGCAGGTGTCTCTAAGCTGCAGGTGTCCACGTTGGAGCATGAGATATTTACACAGAAAGATGTTTTAACCTTTAATTAAATGCGTAGCGGTAACATACACAGATACGTACCGTAGAGGCTTTTTTCTGAACACTTCCTGTAACACGGCTGGTTAAGGAAATAAAACTCCAGCAGCTACCAGGAAAAGTCACTGATGGCTATCTTCATCTTCTTCCTGCACTGAAACCACTAAAGTCGTCTTCTTCAGTGTTTTCAGGAGCTGAACAGCCTCAGAATCACTTCATCACTTCCTCAGTCTCTCTGTCGTCGTCGCTCTCAGCCTCACTTTGGTCTCGAGGCAAAAAAATCCATAAATTAGCCGCTTTGTTGTTTAAACCGCAGCGTTCAGAACGTGTGAGAAAAGTAGAGGCTTATAGTCCAGACATTACGGTACTTCAATCACAGTTTAAGAGCTAATTTGTAAACTTTTTATGATGTTGTTTGGTCATTAAATGTACAGCAGCATCTGTGATCCAGTAAATGTGCTGTCAGTAAACCTCCCTTCCCTCCTCATTAACGCCACCAGGTAAAGACGACATGGAGATGTGTGAGCTGAGTCTGGAGGAGACGGGTTTGACCAGGAAGAGAGGGGCGGAGATCCTGCCCCGGCAGTTCGAAGAAATCTGGGAGCGCTGCGATGGGATCCAGTACCTGAAGAAAGCCATCGAGAACAAGCAGGCCCGCCCAACCCACGCCACCGCCATGCTTCAGAGTCTCCTCAAGTGAACCGCGACGTCAGACCGCTGCTGAAACACGACACTGATGCACCTGTGGGATGTGAGGAAGTCACCGCAGACAGAGATGCTCTGAACACAACCCTCCTGTAGGCGCTCAGCGCTTCATCCGCTGAACCGTCTTTAGCTGTATGTCGTTTATTTTTTAAATGTCTTTGCATTTTGCTGTGAAGCACCTTGTCGGTGCAGCATTAACACTAGTCTTCTTCCTAATCTATGCTTGAATGGAATGTCCCACCGTGAGGCCTTGAAATGCAAAATCTGCACACCACTGAGTCTTAACCGGTGCACAGCCTGCACAGCTATAAAGCTGGAACCTGATTTACTGGACAGGGAGTCTGTGTGGAGATGCTTTTAATGGCGTGTGGCCGAGCCGTGAAGTCATGCTCTATGCTAATATTACGACTATAATTATCGTTTAGTGTCTCTGAATATGTCTCATGTTGGTAGAATTAATTGCATTTTCAACACACGGGCAGTTTGTAAAATAAACAGCTGCTGATTTTCTCTCTCAGATTTGGTGACAATCATGAAGTCATATGAAGGGAATAAGTTGTTTAATCTGAAGTAAAACATAAAAGATTTGAACTGCGATGAAGTTTTTAGATCACTTTAACAGCTCCGTGAAGCAGAACGTACTTTTTCTTGCAGGATCACTTTTTCATAACATCTTCTTACTCGTTTTCTTTACGTCGACTCTTGAGATTCTTAAAAAGGGAACTTTTTTTTTTGTATTGTTGCTCGTTTGTTAAGCGAGAGGGAAACGTTTTCATGTTCTCATGTTTGCAGTTTTGTGGCTTTGGGCTTGTTTTACAGTCAGTAATGTCATTTGTGTGTGTGTGTGTGTGTTCATGTGATATTTTATTAAGCTGATGACTTGACTCCTCCGTTTGATAGACCAGGACCTGTTGTTTAGACTCACTGTGGTCGACTTTCCTGTAACTGCTGAGTCACTGTCACGTGTCCCGTCTCACTGGACTGCTGTAGGAAATAAACCTGCTCCTGGATTGTTCTTCATTGTTACGTCTTTAGAAGTTCCTGCGCATAATTGACAAGTGAGAATTCACAAACAGAGCTGTTAGTGGTCAGCGCTCTGTAATGGATCTGACATCCTAATGCTAATAGCAGCTAATGAGATTAGCGCGCAGACTAATTAAACAACAAAGGATGATGTTGTGCAGATGTCGTCACCGGGCGGATGCTTGTGAGGCCAATTAAGTGATCAACAGGATTAAAACTTAAGGGCTTCTCCTCAGTGGATATGTTTTTATAAACTTCAGGTTTTACCGCTTGTTTTTATTAAATTAATATCAGCGAGAAACGAGATCATAAAAATACTTGAGCTCCATTTGGACCGTATTTCTCTCATATTGTAGATTTTTCAGCTCTTAACAGTAGTAACAGCACGTGTCCTTGATTCAACTACAGAGACTAATGTTGTATTTTAATCCTACCAGGTTTGTTGACAACAGTATTTTAGTTCTGTTTCCTGTGTGTGACTCAGTTACAAACAGCTGTAATGTTCTGAGCAGCCAAAAACAGACAAACACTTATTTTCTTAAAAGAACACTTTTATTATTTAGCTTGAGATGTAAAATGTGTAAAATAAAAAAGTCCAGATCTCAGTAGACACATGATTAGTGGTGAAAGTAGTGAACAGGACGGACTGATGGAAACCCAGCTCCATGTTTCCATGAACAGTCAAACATCTCGTACATTCGCTCTGCTTTTTGGGACACAACAGTGTTAAAGAACTCCATTAGAACAAACAGACTAGACATGAGATACCGCCACGTGTATCAGCTTGTACACAATAAATACCTCATTGTGAGGAAAAAACAACCTTTGCCAAGGATACAGGAAATATTCCTACCATTTAATATATAAAATAAATATTAGGTTCCACTTGAACAAAGCCTAAGTCCACCTTAACATCCGTAGCTCTCTGCCTAACGAGACACGTTCGTCACTATGAACACATAAACTCAACCACTGCTCTACCGGACCTGTAGCTCACATACAGCGTAACAGCACCGTCGCTCTTTGCTGCCTCCTGTTCTGACGCTGCGTCGGCGGCTCCTCGGACGAGCGAGGCGCCGTCAGAGCACCGTCACCTCAAAGCATTCGTTATCTGATGCCCTCAGAAGACAACACGTTCTGTATTCATTTGGCAGTCGCCACGTCTGGGGGGGAAGAATGAAAAATGGCGGATTTCAGGTGCAGTTCTGCAGTAAATGACAGAATATCCTTGTAAGTACATCTGCAGGCTGCTTGTATGAATCATCGTCTGACAATATCTGCGAGCACAATGATAAGCTGCTCTATCTGGAAGCTGTACAAGGTTATTATGGGACTTCGAGTTTATTTTGATTGTGTTAAAGCGAAACTTTAAACGCACAAAAGTCGACGGTGATTCGGTTTGTGAGTAAAAAAAAATCAGCAGCAGTTGCATGCACAGAGGTTTTACCTTTACACGCGTCATAGAGCTGCAAAACAGGTGATGGTCAAGTTACTGGACATTAGCAACACCGTTTATAGACCATACTGAACATTTAACGAGTGAAATGACTGGATATTAGTTTAAAAGTAAAGTCGTGACTCGATAACCCGACACTAAACGTAAAACCTTCTTCTATGTCGGATATCAAGGCTGTCGGATTGTCCAGACGGAGGTCCAGATACGAGGAGGGCTTGATGCTGGAAGGCTCGTTAGTTGTTCATTATTGTTCATAGTTGTTATAATAACTAGTAGGGCTGGTCCCAATAGAACTTTCTGCTCTCTGGATGTTCAGGCCCAGTTAATGATGAATATCAGAACATTCTGTGCGGTCGGGGGACACTTCCACCCCGGGGCAGCGCTCTGACGGGGTGGAAGTGTCCAGAACACACAGGCAGTACTTGGCTGCTGATGCTAGTTTAGTTAGCGCTCACACTTCTGTTTCCTCCATCGGTGGCGGCGGGGGAGTGGCAGATACGCTCCACCGTTACCATCCATGTTTACTTCCATAAACACTGAGCACGCTCGCTGCGTGTGACGTCGTCGTGTCCTCTTCTGCGCATGCGGGACACTTTTGGCTCGTATGAAGTTCACACAGCAGATCACATACAAGTCGCATTGAAGTGGAAACGTGAAGGAAGTCACAAAGAAATCCTCATTGAGCATCAAGTCCTGCAGTGTGAACGTAGCCAATCTGTGGGATTGTTCAGTCAGATAATACGCCGTCATCCTGATTAGTGACATTAAATGTCATGTCGGAGTCACAATCCAAGGCTGTCGCTATGTTAAGGCTGTTTTTATGGGTTCTGTCAAGACAGCAGGTTTAGGATTGTTAAGGGTCGATTATCGAGTCACGACTGTCCTTCTTAGAATATTTAGATTTATGTTGTACATTTCCTAAACATGAGTTGACATCCAAAGTCCAACAGTTTTAAAGTCAGAGTCGTGTTTTCTTCGTGTCTTACCTCGTTGTGCGGTATACAGTGATGGAAGTCCACCATGTCTGAGACTAGCTTTTCTGATCTGGTTGTGTAGAGTTGTCTGGGGATCTGTGGAGAGGAGACCATGTTTACAATGTGCTTCATTAACATTAAACCACAACCAGGTCAGTGTGCACACTGCAGACCAAAGCAAGCTCTTCACTACAAGAGGATCTAAAGCAAAAAAAGAAGAACTACTCCAGGTGTGTGGACCAACGGCTACGACTGCACAGCTCAGTGTGGAAACCAAACACTTGTTCAGAATCCTGGATTGTGTTTGATTCTGTGGATGACGGCCTTGAGCTGGAGACACTCGAGGACGTTGAGCCGCCCTGAACGGTTTCAAACAATGTTTTGGTCGTATATTCAATTAAAAGATATTTTAAAAGTTTAATATAAAGCCTTGAATGCCACACAAATGGAAAGCAGCACAAACCTGCTATCAGCACACAGGTTGTTAGTGCGTGTTAGAACGTAAGCTTCGAGGTTAGTAGTCGGTTTAGTCGATCGTGCCGCGCAGCACGGTGTACCTCGATACTCAGGTGTATGTTTTCAATTGAGGCAAAGTGTTCCTGCTCAGACTGTTGGGATTGGGACGAGGCAGAGCTGGAAGGACACGGTAACGTGGACACTTGAGTTAAGACACCGTCATCGTTCTCAAACACTGGGTTCTCCCTCAGTGTGTTCTCAAAGGCATAGGGAGCATGGGTGTGCCTACAACGTAAAGGAGACGAGGAGGTGAACGCTCCACCCACGGCATCAAGAGCTCCCGTTAAAACGTGCACACCAAGGGGCCTCGTACTTACACCAGCGTCACAGCCTTTCCCGTGTTTATGCATTTCTTGTTGATGAATATTAAAACGGCGATGACGGCGCAAACCAGGCAGAGGCTTCCCACGAGGCAGGTTATGATCAGCGGAGGGTCGACCGGCACCGACACCAGCTCGTTGCAGCGCTCTCCGTGGTAGTGCCAGTATTTACCGACGGGGCATCTGGAAAAGAGTCCAAACAAACTCACAGGTTAGTGACAGGAGCTGCGTTTTTCATAAAAGTGACTGTTTAGTTCTGAGATGTGACTCCAAAAAGCTCAGCAAAGCCTTCTGCGTCTCAACAAACACCTCATGGCGGCGGCATAAATATGCATAAAACAGCAATTAAGTCATCACAGATTTGTTTTCACAGTTCTGAGCTTCCCATTTCAAATAAACCCACTTTTCTAATTAAATAGCTGAGTGATCCTCGCGTTTCTGCAAGTGTTGCCGCAGCATCCTCCTTCATCATACATGCATGAATATGTAATTTTCTGCATATAAAGCAGAATAAACAGCGCTAAGCCGTTTTCCACAGCTACATTCAGATGTGAGGCGACGTGCTGAGTCAATATGTTTGCCGTAATTGCTGATGTAAGTGTTTAATTCTTACTGGCGTATTTGAGAAAAGACAGACTTTGCTGCTAAACATTACTCAGAACTGCAAAAGAACTGATGCTTGTCTGTAAAGCTCTAATTGTCATCGTTAATTTCTTTTCATTTTTATTTAACACGGCTCAAGAATGCAGTGTTTTGTAAGTTCTCATATCTCGGATGCCCTTCAGTGCACCGTTACAGGAACAAAGGAAGGTTCCCTACTCATGTTTCCACCTGCACTGCAACACAAGACTGATTTAAAGGAAAAAAATGGGTTTAAAAGCTCTAATCTCTGCAAACTGCAACAGGGAAATGAATGCAAAAGCTGCCAGGCAGAGAGACATTTATTAAAAACCTAAAGCGTGCAGGTAAACTGTTGGTGTTTCCTTTCCTTGGTCAGCGCCGTGCCTACCTGCAGGCGGCTCCGTGACCCGGGATGATTTCACACAGGCCTCCGTTCAGGCAGTAGTCCGGCTGCAAGGTGCAGGTGCTCTGACAGGGCAGGCCGTCCACGATGACGTAGCCCGGGTCGCACAGGCACTCGGCCTCGTCGGTCCAACTGTTCACCACGCAGCGGGAAAACTCGTTGCATGCCAGGAACTTGCAGGGATCTGCTTGGTCAGCTGCAGCAAACGGAGGAGAGGTTAAAGTGGTGTTGAGCAGAGAGGTGAAAGCTTATTAGCATGACTGCAGTCTGTCTGACTGAGGGGAGACGTTAAAGGGCGCTTTGATTGATGTGAGTGAGGACTTTCAATCAGGTGTGTTTGTAATGAGGTCAGTCGTGAACTCGTCCAAGCAAAAAGATGCATCGGATTTACGAAGCACTGCTGCAGACAGTCGGCAGAGCGAGGATGGAGACGGGCGCTCCGACCTTGTGGCGCGAACAAGCAGGACTCACTGCAGACACAGACTATGGATTTTTTTTTTTCCTCTCCTGCATCCAGAGCTCCTGGATGTCACTCCTACTTTCGCTTAAAGATTTGAAGTAAGCAGAAACAAACTGACATCAGTGACTTCCTGACCGAGGACATCTCACCTGGTTCTATCTCCAAGGAGCGGCTGTCGATCTCGATGTCGAGCCGTTTGGACGCTGCGTTGCAGAAGTCCTCCAGAACACAGTGCACCGCCTCGGTGACGTTGTACGGCACCGGCTTGTCCAGTTTCATCTTACTGTTCACCACCACGCTTCCGTTCCTGAAGTTCAGAATCTCCAGCTGCTTAAATCCAGTCAAGTTGGACTGTAAATACGGCAGAAGCTGTGGAGAACGAGAGGGAGAGCAGGTCAGCTTGTGAGGAACAGCTTCTGTTTCATCAGATTAGTCGACTACTGCTGTGGATGTTAGTGCTGTTAGTGGTCCGTTAGAGGAAACACAGCATCCCTAAAACACTGACTGACTGGTTTCATTTTTACACAGAAGGAGGGCAAAGATTTTTACTCGGACATTGAGGTTAATTAACTAATGCTGGTGTCAGTAAAGTCCAGCGTCCTCCTGAGAAGCCGAGCAGAGACCACGCTGCATCCTGTGGTTTCACTCCCACGACGACAGAGCCGAGGTTGTCATTTCACGGCTGATTTTTAATTATTCAGGTCACATTTTACACTGTGAATGCTATGAATAGTTCATAATTAAATTTTGATGCGAGCATGAAATCCTGCCATTACTGCGCTGCCTGTGTAATTAGATCCAGAGCAAAATTAGGGTTAAGTTTATAAGCGTCGGTACGAGAACGTGCTTAGTCCAGTCAAAAAACAGCCAGAGGACGCGCAATGAAAAGATCAGGAAAAAAAAAAAAACGACTACCTCAAGTCCACAAGAAATCCATAATATATGGTGTTTGGTGGAAGCTTTTATCTAAAGTGCCCTATAGCGAGGTATACATGCTGTACTGCTGGGTCACCTGCCCTCCATCACCCAGTTACACCACAACACATGAAACTGGTTTCAGCGCAGCGCCCTCTGACTTCAGGACATCAGCCTCAAAACAACCATCACACCGCTGAAAATATGGAAGTTTGCAGGAAAAACAGAAGCAAAAACCAAACTGTAGATCAATTTCAGCTATTTTTTTATGTTTCCTGTCATTTGTATTTACATTTTTAGGCCTTAACATCTTCATAACTGATTTTTTAAACCACATTAATAAGGCAGTGTTAGGAAAAGTGTCATCTCTGCACCGTCCAACACATGATTTAATGCAGCTAATCACAAATTAAATGTGCTTGATAAAAAATTAATGTAGTTTATTGGTTAAAACAGCCAAACAATAAGCTGCAGAAAAGCATTTTGCTGTGTTTCTGCTGCACTTCACTGCTTCTTGCGAGGGGGAAACTTTCACAGCATCACCTGCTCTAGGAAGCGTATCTCTGCGGCCTTGTTTCAAATTGAACCAAACTCTCCACATCGTTGCATTTAAAATATCCCCACGGACTCGGACTCGCGGCCGAGATAACCGGGGAGCCAATCTATTAAGACTTTGGACTGATGACGGCGGTGTTATTTAGGAGAAGAGGAACTCGACCAGCTCAAGTAATGGACCTGCATCGATGTTCATCGATCTGAAGCGCTCCCCTTCCAGCCGCTCGCTGCTCGCTACAGACGAGCCAAAACATCAAACCGCCGCAGTGTGAGAGGGAGAGATTACGATGCTTCAGCAGGCCTGGCTGTCGAGCAGGAGATAAGGGGCCTTAAGGAGCTCGGCTCTGATCGGGTTACTTCACTTATCACTGGCAGACAGTTTACTGTGGGCTAGTTCCCTGCAGCTAATAGCCTCTCGGAGAAGAGGGTGACTATTACAGGGTCCAACATCCAGGACAAATGGGCAGCAGCTTATAGTACAAGTGGACGCAGCGCTCCGAGTTCGGTCGTCCATTTGTCTCAATGCAGAATGTCACCAGGTTATACATCTGCAGGGTAGATTAGCAATCTGGATCGATCGCCTCTCACCTGAGGTCAAAGTGGAGTTCTTGTACAACAGAGTCTCTGTAGAGTCCTACATATGGACACAACACAACCAGAACTTCCTACTCAGACACGACCACGTTTGCTCCTCTACACATGTATCTACTGGTTCTTGTGTTTGGAAAACCTGCCTTCGCTGAAAAATGAAAAGTCACGAGGAATATTAAGCTACTGTGAAAATATTACTCTGATTGGCTGTAGCAAAAAAAAGTCATTCCAACCTCCATGTCCAATTTTATTGGTTGCTTCACAAACCAGTAGGTACAGGAGTAATGTGGCAAAACAGAACAGGGAGTTGGAGGCTACTGTGGCTAATGGCTCATATATATGTATATATGAAGGACGGTTTCACAAATGGGCTCCAATAGCCTGCAAAACATTACACTGTGGTCATTTAAATGGGCTGTGTAATGTGTGTTGTTTGACGTTTTTAGTGACGTGTAAACCAGCTTGGATAAATGTATTAAAATGGCCCATTTAAAGGAAGACGTGTCGACCATCTCTACAGGGTTACTGACAGTAGGCGGTATACAGCACGATATGTACTTACCAGTGCAAACGTCTGACCAAATTAGTTTTGCCAGGAAGCTAAATGCATCCGTTAACAAACAAAGAACTGCAGAAATAATAGTCATGGTTTGGGCAACCATTAAAGATTGGAGATGGAGTGTTATTAGTCTTATCAGTTCTGTATCATAGACATCTCACTAGTGTGGGTGTAGATCCACTGGAAAAGGATCTATTCTGGTCCAATCAAACATACAGGAATCATCTTCATTTTCTTATAACACAAACATGAACATCTGTGTGGAGCAGATCAGAACACAACACGCTCTGTCCCGTCCATCCCGACCCTGGAGGCTTATCCTTCCCTCTGCACACACCTGCCCCAGTAGCTCACATCCCCTCCCTCTCCTCAGCGTTGCAGCGAGCACGCAATCCAATTTGTATCGATGCACCTTCTCGGTTTGTGGCTGAGGCCTTTACGTAACACAGAGCAGCTCTGAGCGAGCCTAAAAATACGTCCCCACTCGTCAACCTGCAGGTATAAGCCTCGAGACTAAACAGGGATGGCAAGTGATGCTTTTTTTCTTTGATGTGCGCTAACAGGTACGGCTTTAAAGAGACACCGTCCTCACCTGCATGCCAAAGAAAATGTGGAGATCTTACTTCTGGAAAAAGCGTTTGTCGTGAAATGAGATTTGATTTTAAATGTGTGCATTTTTACACAGAAACGCTCCAAAACAGCGACTCCAGCCGGTGGATCTGTTTTATTCTGCTGTGGTCGTACAAACAGTGACAGCGCTGCATGCAGATGTCCACACACACCTCACTGACATCGCACTAAGCAGATTGGAACCATTAATAGCGCTGTGTGTGTGTGTGTGTGTGTGTGTGTGTGTGTGTGTGTGTGTGGTGCTGGAACTGACTAGAATTACTTAAAGCTTCTTACCTCGAGTCACAAACCAATGACTAAGGCAGACCCGGGTCTCATGATTCAGACTACCCTGGGCTAGCTGGCTCTCTACCGTGCACAGAGCTACACAGTTTTAGCAACACAAAATGCATAAAGCTCGCATGACATTCCTATTAGACTGGCTAAGCCTATTATCACATTATTCTGTCACACATTCATTCATTCATTCGCTGTGTGAGTTTATCTCCAAGGCGTTAAACGTACACCGATGGCCGATGCTGCAACATACGAGCAACACGCGTACAAAAATAAAAACTGTTTTACTGAATAACTACACTGCATTTCCACTGTCATTGCATTTCCCATTTTAAATAAAGAAACCCAAAAAACACTGTAAACATGAACATGAACCTACAGTTCCACATGTATTTAAGCTAACGTCTATCGTACATCACAACAAAAGCTCGACAAGAAATGATGCAAAAGCTTCTCTTACAATGTTGTTTTTAGGAGAAATAGTTCAGGGAAACATGCTTGTTTTCCTTCTTGTCATGGAAATTAACATCATATTCTGATATCTGTCCATTTATAGACCTGAAGCTACAATCTGTAGCGTGCAACGGTTAGCTTAGCTTAGCACAAAGACCAGAAACAGCTAGTTGGACTGATTTTACAAGTATTTAGAAGGCAAACAGGAACATGTTTTTTGTTTGAATTAAACATTAATTAATCAGCTATAACGATCCTAGTTTTATTGCTCTTGGAAACAGGCTAGCTGTTCCTCCCTGTTTTCAGGCTTCATGCTATGCTAAGCTAAACGACTGCTGGTTCAGCAATAAAACATTCATTTTTCCTAAACGTCAAACTATTTCTGATGCCTGTTGGTTCATAAAACCTTTACATTTCCTCTCCTGTTAACATATCACAGCCCATAACTTTAGACAAATCCCCTGCAGACACACATTTTACAACATGTTGTGTTTGAATTAGCCCCAGTTTGTGCCTCTCGTGAATTATAAAACACTCTTTTAACCGCCCGAATGAAAAAATAATTAATAAATAAACTGAGTGCAACACAAATAAAAGGTATGTTAAAACCTGCTTCCCGTGATACGACTTTGCCGCCTATCAGCAGCCGACAGCCTGCTATCAGAGCTGCGGTTAAAAGAGTCGGCGGGGATCCTGGAAACACCTTCTGAGGAGCGTTTCTGTTCGACCCTCTGGGTTTCCCAAACATCACTGCTCAATTATTTTGTAAAGAAACCGACGGCTGACCCCGTGACCCCCAACGAGCAGCACAACCTGGGGCCAATAGGAATCAAAGAAAACTCCAAAAACGGTCCAAAGGCATTACGGCGAAACACACAAAGACAGACGTTCACAGATCGAACAGCTACGACGGGACGATCTGTGCAAAGCCGACTACTGCAGAAATGTTAGAAGTGTTGAGTGCTTCTAGAGCGTTTAGATACTGCATTTGGAAAAGGTTAGTGAAGAAGCAGAAAGGTTGCGCGCTCTCTGAGGCGATGAAGTTCCAATATGGAAAAAACACCAAATACCGGTATGGAGGCTAAAGTCGTCTGTCTCCCAGGCCCAGATTTACTGGAAGCTCCAGGGTTTGGCGAGTTTCTGGAGCCGGAGTGCTGTGTCTGAGTGAAACACAAGCATGCTTTTTTTCATACTGCAGATCTGACTGAGAATTTGGCGATCGTTTGAAGCCTTATTATAATACTTTTATAAAAATACAATTCATGATGAAAAAAATATACATGCAATATGATTTTCTGTTATTTTTAGGATTTAAAAAAAAGGATAAGGCTCACTGCACATCCTCACTGGTGCAGTCCAACAGGAAACCACTAAACCCTCATAGTTAACATGTAATACTGCACACATGTCATCTCATCACACGTTTTATCTACAACAGCAAGTATGAGACAGAAACATGGAGGAGCAGGATATCCAGCACAAACGCTCGAGTACCTACCAGCTCCAGAAACGTGTTCTCCAGTGACTTATATTCAGGGGAGCTCTTGTTGAAAAGGTCGTCAGAGAACATCATGTTAGTGACCCTCAAGCTAAAGAAAACCACCAGCTCCTGGCTCTTCCGCACCGCCGCCATCACCGGCGTGCTGGCTTGTCTCATGGCAGGTGCAGCCGTGGACTCGTACGGACGTTCGTCGGACTCTGAGGCGAACCCGCTGCCGCTCCCCTCCTCCAGGTGCTCGGTGGCTTCCAGGTCCGTCCGGTTCTGATTCGGTCCTGCTTCCTCAGAAGGCGGCTCCGCTGAGGCTGGAGTCTCTCCGCTGGAGTCACCTCTCTCCTCGGGGGCCTCGCCGCTCTCCACCGGGGACGGCAAAGACTCCACATCGGTTTCTGGTTCCGTCGCTTGAACTGTATCTTCCAGGAAGGACGGCGTGGAAACCGGCGGCTCTGTGACGGATATTTCAGCAGCTGTGAGCTCTGTCGGGTCCAGATTAACGTCAGTCAGCACTTCTTCAGGTTGGGAGCCAGGAGTCGCCACAGAAAGGTCGTCGTTCTGATGTTCCTCGTCGTCTCCATCAGGATCTTCTAGAACAAACGGAGCCAAATATGCACAGTTAAAAGCCCAACAGAACACTGTTTCAGCTACTAACAGCAGACCAGAACCTGGTGTATCTGACGGCTAGTTTAAGGCCCACTGGGTCACATTTCCTTCTCTACACAGTTCTTTGGTGGTTTTGCTGTCGGCCAAGGCCACCTTCAGTCAGCCTCTTTCCTGTTCTCTCCATGTGAACCCTTTAACACGCAGGTTTCCACTCGTGTAGTCGTCACAGAGCAGTTTGGCAGTTTTATTAATATCACTGTCTGGCAGCGCTGGAGGAAGCATTGAGATCTTAAAAAAAAAAACCTGTTAGAAGCCTGAAAGTGCAAGTGGAGCTAAATTAAACTACTTTATCTACAGAGACAGCAAATAAATCTGATTCAATCATGGAAAAGGAACGAATAACACACAAAGCTCTGGTCAGTTCTCAATTTTTGGACGTCAGAAGCCAAAAATGTTGGAAACTCCTGATTGAATCTTTACCAGTGTTTTGTACTTCAAACCCTACGACCGTTGGGCCGATCCTGTGACCCAACCCCTGCTTACATGTGCAAACAGAGAATTTAACAGTGCTGTGACGTGTCTGTGACGATAAAGGCTTCTTGCTGAATTATCACTTGTGTGTAAAATCATCATCCTGTAAGTAAATAAAATGACTACGGTGTAGCAGAAAGTCCAACATTTCCCACCAGAAGGCCGTGGAATGGAAATATAAAGTAGCACAACATTTAAATACTTAATTAAAGCATCTAAAAATTGTACTTAAGTATAGTATTTGAGTAAATGTAATCAGTTACTTTCCACTCTCATGTAAAGTACAGACAAAGAGTCAAGAAGCGATTTGTCTCCTTTAACTCACAAACTGGAATCCTCGGCCTAATTTGCATGTCATATCTTGTTTATTTAATCTATGCACAAACAGGAACCTGAAAACAACAATCTGAGGTAATTAAATCGTCTCTTTGCTATCAGTCTAGTCGTGCAGTCTATTCGTCACTGTGAAGTTGCTAGGCAACCAGCCAAGATGCTGCACAGATGCACCACCTACGTCGTCGTTTTAACAATATCGTCAGTCTAAAAACTAAACAAACACGTTCTAATTTGGTAATTAGTCCATTTCAGAGACGCTACCAGCTTCCGGTCTTTGTGCTAACCTATGCTAAGCTAACACACAGACTCGTGAGCAACATCGATCCTCGTCTAACTCGAGAAGAGAAAGTGAATTTCTACATTTTCCAAAACTTACAAACTGCTCCTTTCAGTAACTTCAGGGTTGTTTAAATAATCATCCTTCATCCCGTCTGACAGCATCGTACATTTTCTAAATCAACTTGTTCCAACACTCCAGTGAAGCTGTGCGCTCAGTAAAATATTCAAACTCAAGACTGTGTGAGTTTATAACTGCATCATTCCATCAAATAGAAGCACCGTAGATGTCTGGTGCATCATTTTATACACATTCCTCCAAGCCCAGAGACACGCCTGACATATTTCTGTATCTCTGGAAACTCTGCTAGAATTTAAAGTGAAGTTGTGCTGCTTTACCAAACTTTGTCAGCACAGCGTGAGTTTGTAATGACTTGACCACCAGCGGGTCGCCTGCTAGTTAATGGGTTTTAATATGACGCATCGCCTCGGCGGGGAGCGTTTCCATGTGCACGCCCAGACCACCAAGTCTAATCATACTGCCGGTTCTATTTCCTGTCAGAAGTGAAGAAGAGAGTTTTTTTTCTTTTTTAAGGCCACTTTTTATTTAGTCGGACAGTCCAGGGCTGTGTTCTCCAGCGATTTATCGTTAGACGACACTCATGCAGCTATATATATAAAAGCATGTGTGGCACATCCAAAATATGTGACCACATTTGATGTTATTTTGGTAGTTATGAGAAATTGTTTAACACCACTTTATATTATTGTAATAATATTTGCAAAGTACAAGAGTAGTACTGTATAAATAATAATGTAGAGGGGCGGAACCTTTGGCACTGCCTGGTTGCAGCTCCCCGGTTGCATAGTGCGGAGCAACTTCCGGTTACCGCTCATACGCGATCTGGACGAATCTGAGAGTTCCGCTGTTGTTCCTGTTCTCACACTCTACATATGTTTTGCAGGTTAGTACTCGGTTGAAAACAACTGTGAATGAAAGCTCTAAGCTTCGTGTGATGTGTAGGTTGTTCAGTCACTATGTTGTGGTGACTTGTGTAACTTTTAATGTCGGTGTGATATTGAATTGGAGAATATTGATCCGGGGCTCACAGCGGCGGTAAAGCCGAGCCGCTCCGTGGCGGTAGTTTGGGGGTAGTTTGGGGTTTTTTCGCGCTATTTTCTCGGTAGTAAACTCGCGTGTAAAATGTGTGAATTAAGGCAGAAATTAATGTATTGAGCAGGTAATTCATGTGCAAATGGTTCCCTATTGATTTTGTATGACTCCTGATGTGACTTGAGGAATGTTTTATCACCACTGAACACTGTGTTGGTTCAGAGTGTTTGATTGATCAGTTAATACCAGATATTCATTGTTATTTGTTGTTCTGAGAAAAATGAGCTCATAGCACTAAGGCACTCCAAATATTTGTTCAGTTTTAAATAAGCTAAACACGCTCAGCAAGTAAAAGCACAGTAAGAGTAAAGAGTAACTGGGTTGTTGCATTACTTCTGTAGAAGCACTTTAAAGCTGCAGTAAGCAATGCTTTTCTGGTGTTACAAGGATTTATCTGGAAATGTAATAAGCAGAAATGATATATGGTTTTGAGTAACAAAACATGAATGAATACAGGATGGTGTTTTATTTTGACTTAATTAGTCAGTAGTAATGGACACTGAGAGCATTGAAATGTAAATGAGTTGTAGATGGAATAAATAATTTGAGGGTGCTGCTGTTGTTCCTACTCTCACACTCTACATATATTTTGCAGTCTGTCTTTGCAGAAATTCTCTTTGTTGACGTGGTCACCGTGCCAGCCGGGGCCCGTAACACATGCTTTAACTGTTTTGTTGTCTTATTTTCTTATTCCCAGATGAGCAGCTAATGGTGCAAAAGTGTGCATTAAGTTGTTCCACCCTGAGCTTCCTGCTGCTTAAGTAACTCAAACTCAGTTTGCTCCATCAACAAAGCTTTGAGGAGGTCTTACCGTCTGTCGCCTGCTCCTCGGATGCAGCCTCGGCTCCGTCGTCCTCTTCGGTCGGCGGTATCTCCTCCACCTCCGGTTCTCCTTCGTCTTCCTGTTCCACGATAGTTTCCAGATTTGAAGCGTCGCCGGCCTCCTCAGCAGCAGCTTCGGTGGACTCCACCTCCACCGCCGCCATCAAAGGAGTCTCCACGGTGGCGTCTGGGAGGATGTTGGCGATGGAAGGCACAGAGGTTTCTGGTCTGATGGTAGAGGCTGAGTTTTCTATCGCTGCCACAGTGGGGAGGAATCTTCGGGTGGGAATTAGGTCCTCCGTCGGTGCTTCAGTGGTGCCCTCCTTTGATAGTACGGTCTCTACAGGGTTCATGCCGTGCTCCGCTACTGAATGGACTGTAGTGACTGAAAAGGAAGAGTTAGAACACCACGTTTACCACTGTCAGCACTAATCTGTTGTTTTATTCAGTTCAATGTGACCTCACCAGTCTCAAAGCTGAGCGTCTGTAAGTCCAGCGGCAGCGACGGCTCCTGCTTCAAGGCCTTCACGATGATGTGCTTCAGTTTGGGAGCGTTTACGTCTTCGTCTGTCTTCGTGTCCGCCTCCTCGAAGCCCTCGGGATCATCACCGAGCTCCGTTTCTCCGTTAAAGACCACAGCGTAGCGCACAGACACATCCTCCGACCTGATCGACACAACAGAGCGCGTCACAAACCCTCACGACGGACGGACCTCGACGCTAATGGACGGTCGGGACCCCAAAAAGAAGATGTTTCTATAGTTTCTCTTGAGGCGTGATGAATGAAACACCTCTTAACAAAAGTCATTTCAGAGTAAAAACATGAGAAATTTATGCTTCGAGACTTTGTGCCAAACCTTTAGCGGCGCCTCGTTCAACTCACCGAAACCCCAGAACTCGTATCTCTTTGAATCCTGGAACTTTTTGAAACACGTGAAGCATCTACAGAAAAATCCAGAATGAAACAGGTGTGAGAGCAAAACAAAGCAGAGAAAGTTTACATCTCAGACCTATAAAACTGTTTGATTTAGCTCAGACGTGCAGCGTCGCTAACCTCACTACAGGGTTGCTTTACTTTCTTTGACTTTTTGGACTTGTTGTGCTGATGCTGGACTATTTTCTGGGGATTTTATGTCACATTTGCTGCTGCAGAGACTCAGTGTTGCAGGAAATGAACTTAAACATATATTCATAGTCAACAGACAAATTAAGGAAACTGATTAAAGAGTTATCCAGTTCACACAGCAAACGTCTTTTAAAAGAAACTGTGTACGTGCGACTTCTGACCGGTCATTCTTAAGAGTTTCCGTCAATGCCTCCTAAGTCAGAGATAATCTATATGATTAGATCGTACTATTCCAGGCTCACAGTCGTTTGCGAGCCTTATCTTAAGTCCCTCGGCTGCAGCCTTAAAGCTGTTAAATCAATCAGGGTGAGTCTTACACCTGACAGTACAATATAATAGACGCTGGCAATAACATCCTGCCTCAGCGCTGTCGTCAATAGGGGCTTTTATTTTGAAGGAGAGAACAAGAGGACTCATTTAGAGGGACGCAGAGGAGTGTTTTGTTGCTGCTGAGAAGAGGCAAAAGGTGATAATGGAGTTTCAAGGTTACATTAGCAGCTCTGGACAGCTTTGAACCCACAGTTGTGCATCGAGGGGCTGCAGGTGTTTAGACTCACTTTCTCGGTGAGCTCTCGCGCCACGTTGTTGTGCTGCGGCGGGTCGCTGAGCAGCTGGCTGTACGTCGGGTCCACGATGGTGATGCGGAACTCGATGATGTACTCCTCGTTGTTCTCCTTCACCAGGCTGGGATCCTCTTTAGTCTGGCAGACAGAAAGCCGGATGACTCTACTGCTGGTTGTGTGTGTTCAGAGCGTTAAAATGAGAATAAATGAAAATAATCTTGTGGCTAACTCACAGCATCAGGTTGGGTTGGAAGCAGAAACAGAGGCGGAGTCCAGGTGCCTGAGACAGAGCAGGTCAGCAGTTAAATTAAGACGTGAAAATCCACTGAAAGCTCGTAAAGGCGTTTAATTTCATCGAACAGCAATGATGTTGATGTGTTTAACTCACACTGGATGTCTGGTGAGGGGGTTGCAGCCAGAATTCTGTAAATGAAAACCAGACTTATTGTTAGAATTGCTACTGTGGTACCCAGACTACAAAACCAACCAAATCATTCTCACTGGAAGCTTTAAGGGGACATGACAACAAATACCCATCTGACTCAGGGTGAAGGCAGGTTCACCTGGACAGGTAACCAGTCTATCACAGGGCTACACTTAGAGACAGACAACCAAGCACACTCACATTCACACCTACGGACAATTTACAATCACCAATTAACCTCAGCATGTTTCTGGACTGTGGGAGGAAGCCGGAGAACCCGGAGAGAACCCACGCTGCACGGGGAGAACATGGAGACTCCACGCAGGAAGATCCCGGGTGTCCTCACCAGGACATGAACCGGCGACCTTCTAGCTGTGAGGCCACGGTGCTAACCACCGAGACACCGTGCAGCCCAATGTGGAGCATCAGTACTAAATATTTTTGTCAGGGTTAAACGTCCTGGTAATGATGTGCCACTTTGTGCAGATGCACAACAAGATAAAAGTGTTTTCTATGAAATGACTGCATGCACACTCACATTTCCGCTAAGCGTTGGTACCTACCCTTCACTGTCACCCTCCTCTGCTACTCTCTGGAAATAAAAAGAAAATCAGAGACATCAGCTGTTGCATCTTTAAACGCTGACATGAAAACAGTGTGTAGAGCGCTGTGCACTCACTCTGGCCACCATGTCCAGGTGCTCCTGAGAGCTGCTGAAGTTCTTGGCCAGGTCGTCCATGCAGAGGTTTTCATGCTGGCAGGTGTAAACCCAGCTTCTGTACTCCTCTGAGTCTGGGACTCTGTCCAAGAAGATCCGAAACGCTTCCCAGATCGCTTCCTGACAAACTAAAGACAAAGTTTTTGCGGAAAATATGATAAGAAAATGCATCCAGTGAGGCCTAATCTAATGTAAAACATCCAAAAAACAAGGTGGGTTTTACATATTGGAAATAACTAAGATATAAAGACAACTGTTGGTGTTCACGCTGACATTTCTGCACGTGGAAATCTACTCATGATTGAGAGATTACAAACGCTTTATTACTTCCTGTCGCTGCAGCTTTTCATATGAATACCTCACAGATGTTTAGTCACAATGGGATAATGGGAACAGCACCAACAGGTAGCGTTGCTCGTTGTTTCATAAATGTCAGACTGTATATTTAGAAGTCGTTGCATGTCCGCGACATTTTTGTCAATATTAAATTCGGGAGCACAAAGACCCCCCGAAGCCACATTGCGTCTTATCCGCCTCTGCGGGCGAAGCGAGCGTCGCATTGTCCAATATCTTGATGCCTGTGGGAAATTTATTCTCTGACAAACTGGTTCCTGGAGCGACGCGATTACCTCCAATACGCCAATTTAATCCGCCTCATTTTAAAATCAGACGTCACGGCGGCCGTTGTGGAACAATTTGCATCACAAACCAATTGTAACAGCCGCGGTGGCAATCTGAGCCTCTTGAATCAACCGCAACCCATCCATCTCTCTGGGACAAGGGATGTTTGCATATAAGTCCATTATGGTAAGAGTCTCTCTATGGTGGTGAATGAACAGCATCATGAAGCGGCATTAAGTGAACAATGCACGGCCCTCTGCGATCCAAACCAATAAACATCACTTCATTGATGACATTTAGAGAATTGCACATATTTGAGGGCATTAAAATATCTTTTCCTCGTCGTGATGTGATGTGAAATGATCAAAGCAGATTTATTCAGCAGCTACGACGTCTCTGTTTGACGAACTGCTTAATTCTCATCTGACACAGAGTCAGTGTTTTAGGAAAGGCTTAGTTTTTGCACCATAAAATGCTTCGTCACGATTATAAAGTTAAAGTTTAAAAAAGATCCTTTACGAGTTCACACCAAAGTCGAGCAGCAGCGGTGGTTTCCGTTACCTCGGAGTTTGTAGTAGGCCCGATGGCTGCCGATGACGGCCTTCATCGTCTCCTGGGGGCAAACTTTGACGCCCGTCGTGAAGACCGCTGACCTCCTGGTCCGATGTCGGTCCCGCTCCGCTCTGATGTTGGTGGCATGTCTGATTGGTCGAGAGGCTTCCAGAAAGTGCCGGTACTTCACATCCCTGAGTCCAGAGAACCCGTTGTCATGGAGGTCTGCAAGAGGAGAGTTCACAGGTGGAATTCTTTTTTTATTTTTTTACAGCAGACAACAGAATTAAATTACAGTAAACACGAATAATGAAACCCTTCAGGATAAGTGGCTGTGGTTCTGTGGACTGTCGTGTTGGTGTGAGGCTTCTCTCTGTGGATGATTGGTGTAATTAACAACTGATGGGCCACGATGCGGAGCCACAACTGCACTCGGTGCGCTAACTGCTGTGGAGTTAGTGGCACACTGTGCATAAATTAAATCCAATGGTTTGTATTAAAGTGGAGCTTGTGTTTAACAGGTTCTCTGTTTAATCACTCGCAACAGAAAGGATGAAAATACAAAAGTCATGGACGGTGTAAATAAAGTTTATCCAGAATACGGGTCTGTTGGATTTGCCCTCGTGGATGGAAAGATGTCGCTGCAACAAGAAGTCGTTTTAAAGAAGTTCTCCGACAGTTTCACACCCAAAGATCGGTTTATTTTATTATTCATCCTGTCAGAACAGCTTCTGTGGCTCTGGGGTGCAGTTTCAGAGGAAGCAACACTCATGATGCTGGTGTCATTGGGTTTGTCTCTGACTGGGTTGGGTTTGAACATGAACTGGGTTTGCTGACTGATGCTGCCTTTAGTTTACCCCAGAGGTGCGACGTAAGACCTCGAAACTGGAAAAGAAAAAGCCGTGACTGTCTCTGGGTTTCCTTTGTTGCATTTATATGAACAACATCCAACATGTGGACTTAGCTGAAGACACAGACGAGCAAGAAGAGCAAAAGGTTTCAGGAACAACAGCCATAAAAGCTGCATTAATGTACAATTTGTTGGAAAAATGTGGAAGAAACGTTACCAAAGTTACCGAAAAGAAAACCCGACTTCTTGTGCTGCTCTCTGTTTTTTTCCTCGTTAAACATCAGAAACTGTGAGTTCCCAGTCGCCATCAAACGCAGCATTAGTGTTAATAGTAGAAGCATCAACTTATGGAGCTGCATTATTGAAAGAACAGAAGCTCACGTCTTTAGTGATACTCGTGGCTGTGGTGCTTACCGGCGGCTCCTCCAGGCGTATGGAAATCACTGGAGAGCTCCTTCGATAATACCTTTTGCTTGTCTTGTCGTGTCAGGAATCAGGAGCAGCAATTTAACTTGACAGACACTTAATCCAACAAGGTGCCTCATGGCGGCTCTCCTACTGTACGCTAACAGCTGCTCATGAACAGCATCTGGCTCTGCAGCGGAAAGTACGTTACACACGAAGGGTTAGCCAACGTCTATTTAAAGACCATATAACACAAAGAAATCCTCTCTGAAGTGCAGTTTGAGCTTTACTGTAGTGGAAAAACATCTGGAGCCATAAGACTGAAGGCTTGAAGGATGCTTCATAGATGCAGAGGTGCGATGTCCTCTCACGCCTTGACCCGCCAACGTTGCATCACTGCAGCTGCCTTCCAGGTGTGAACGAGCAGCGTGGATTAGTGCTGAATAAGGATGTGCAGCAAACCTTAAATAGATTAAAACGAGCTGCAGCAGTTCACAAAATCAATCCCGCCGCATGAAAACAGTCGAGCAGCAACACTGACACGCTTATTTCCATTAATTATGTCACTTGGAACGAGGAGAACTGCCCCAATTTTCCGATCACATTAGAACAAACTCCGTAAAGCTCAGTTGCACTCGTGAGGCGTTGCATGAAAGGTAATTCTGCACCATTGCAAAAGCCAGTGGCCCAGTCAGACGCTCTCCGACACAGTTACCCCACTGAACCGAGCTGTTTAGGAAGAAAGGCCCTCATTGTGATGCCAGGTGGCAAAGACTTCTTAAGACAATAAGCCAGGATTTATTTATGAGCCCCAAAACACGGCTCGGAGGTCATCGAACCCAAACAACACAGCGTGCCTCCTCTGGGTGAGGAGGCAGAATGAGAAATTAGAAGTGAATGTAAATAACATAATTAGTGTTTCGACTGCATTAGACACGGAGCTTTAAGCTGAAAACGCAGCATTTTCTGGGGAGATAAACAGGAGGAGCTGCGTTCTTCATCTCTGTGAAATAACACTGAGCAAACTGATGTTCTGCAGCAGAGCAGAGCCGACCAGAACCGGACCGCTAGTGATGCATCACACAGGAGCAGTCCAGACGGTGTGTGTGTCTGTAAATGTGTGTGTGCTGGTATTTGCAGTGGGTGTAGCATAAAGGCCATAAAAGCAATGCAGAACATGAAGCAGCTGTTCCCGAATAAAGCGCCCGGAGACGAAGGTATTGATCCAAACGTTGCGTGGAAGTTTTAAATAAAAACACTGCAGCGTTGTGGGGATGTGACGTCCTCAGTCACCAAACGCTCTGACGTTCCCACAGTTGGAGTTATTTTTCACTTAAGTTACATAAAACAGCATCAGGGTTTGTTTATGGGCACATTTTGACACCAGACTGGAACCTTAACGAGACACAGTTGTTCTGTGATTATCAGTCATTTAAGATGCATTAATTCATGTTTTTTTTCTTCGACCTTGAGGCTAGCGCTTCCTCCTTCCCACCTGGTTTGGCCCAAACAGTGTGAGCTTGGTTAAATAGTGAGGACGTAGTAAAGGACCCAACCTCGACCTCGTGTTCGTTACTGTCTTTGTTGTTTCCCTCTTTGTGCTCTGATCACATGTTTTCATCTCATTTTAATAGGACTGATATTTGCATGAAGTTCTTGTTTTGTT